GATTGCCAATTTCAGAAAGAGAAACAGCATATTCCCAAATATTCAATGGTACTTTCAGCAAGCTTAGTTATAAAATCGTTGAAATCAGAAATGCCCTTCCATCTGTTGAAATATCCATCAACAGGAGTAAGCCATTGGTACATTTTGAATTTGCTACGTTTCACGTAATAGAAACCAGTGTTACGATGCGATACAATTCTTATACCCTCAAAATTTCTTTTACGGCTAATATGAGTACCGCTAGTGTAGAACCCCTTTTAGTGAACATTCTATGGAATCAAATGTCATAATATAGTCGTTTTGGAAGAGTCGTACTTGAGATCAGAGGTGGACACTGATACCGATGCAGATTTCTGGTCAATTGATCTGCCGATAAACAAATGTTTACGAGTCAGAAGCAGAGGTGTCGGAGTTCTCCGTTTCTTCCCCAGTATTCCAATCCCAACGAATGGAATCTACTCGAACATTCGCTTTCGCTAGTTTCTAATGATATTGAGACTTGTGAACATGCCTATTCCTTAGATCTGTATCAGGTCGGTAGGGATTCCGAAAACAGAACCAGAAGCTGACATACCAACCGGAAGAACTTTTACGGGTGAGACTACACTGTCCAAAACGAGTACTATCACAAACTCTTTAAAGGTTTATCAAAATTTAATGTAGAGTTAAAAAGAATGCTAAATATTACCGTTCTATTAATCTTTTACCAACTTTCGGTACTATGATTCTTTTTCAGCGATCTGCTGTTTGCTAAGCCAACGTGAAAAAAGTAAAATGATTTTTTTAAATATATTCTTAGGATCACATCTATTTTTCGCGTGAATCTAAACAAAAAAATAATTGATTTTATAACCATACTGGTACCATTACATGTCTTCCACGAATATATCGAAATTAAAACAAAGCAATATAATTTTATAAATTGATTCTTATTATTAGACTTGTTCGTTAACTGTATCTAAATAGAAGANAAAATTGTTTTATTTGTTCAGATGTATCATCATTATCGGACAAACAAAGTGATGTTATTCGATTGACAATAGTGTGTGAGTGTGGAATTTGAGTGGAGATGAGACAATCATCCTCATCCAACATCCACAGCTACACCCTGTCCTCTCTACCAATCTCCTTCTAGGATGGGTATTTTTCAAACAAATCAATGTCTGGTCTATCTACTATATACGATTGGACAAGATAGATATGCAGCAGAAAAACATTTGTGAAAAAAATCACATTTTCTTCTGAGTATGAGGATGATCGTATCTCATTAACCATGTGTTATAAGCACACACTCTTGTAATCTGTTCTGAGTGTCATTGAAAGTTCCTTATGGTCAAAAGATAGAGTTGATAGCTCAGAAATAGTTCGGGCATTTTTCTCATTAGACCTGAACATAGCCAAAACATAAGTTTGCAGAATAATTACATAATAGTTTTAGTGGACTCTCTTCCAAATAAATCTGAATTACATTTGTTTTCTTTGACGTGAAAATTAATCTTAATTTATATTTTCAATTGGTAAAGAGTAGAATTCTAATTATTCAAATAAATGTGAACGAGATCTTTTTTCTAAAGAATTTACAAAATCAATCTTCTTTCCTGAATTTTTTTGTTTTCCAGATATGTTTGTGATTTCATATATCAATAAAGGCTAGCATCTGATACTAATTTTCTACATACAACACTTGTTATGACATTTACTGAATGAAAAAAATCCATGAGACAGTGCTGAATTTAAAAAAGACTTCTAAACTTTTCTTTCAATCGCATGCATTCATGATGAAGTTGCACCAAAGCTTTAAAACAAAGTACTATAGGATCACAAATTCCAATTTACATGTTATTTGCGCTTATAATATTCATCATCGTATTCGACTCGTACTAACAATTACGTTTTATGTAGATAAAAAGAAATAAAAAAAAGAATCGTAAAGCATACAATGTTGTTGCAGAATCATATGTAAAGCTCGAAGAAAAAGAACACGACTCAATTTCCATAACAGGAATGGAACAAGAAAAAAACATTTACCGGTTCGAGGTGCCACTCGTTCTTTCTCTATTGTTGATTCTAACTAATGACGTAAGCTTTTTTTTCGTAGTTACTAGCAAATGATGGTGTCTTCGAGAGCCCAACGTCATATTTATAAGTGCATTTCTTTTTTTTATTCCTGCCTAAGAAAAAATCAATCATTATCTTTTTCTTTTTTTGTGTTCTACGTAACGGTAAATATATATACAGATGAAATAGCCAGAATAATTATTTGACTATTTCTTTTAACATTATTCTTAAAAGTGTTTCATCTGATCCATAGTATCGAATGCAAATTATTCATTCTGATGAGTACATTTTTAAATTATAAAAGAAAAAACGAATGATCTTTATGGATATTAGTTTCGTTTTTTAGAGTTCGCAAACCTTGTCATTAGAGTATGGCGCAAATTAGAAGATACTTATTACTATGGAAAGTAAAAAATATATATATCGAGTCTTCGTTGAACCACTTGCTTAATGTTTGTCATCGCTTTTCAGAAGAAAGAGTAATGACCGTCACTACTTCTTCCAATAGCTCAAGAATGAAACGAGCTAGAAATCTGAAGTTTTGAACATTGTATACATAAATAGTTATTGTATCAAATCATACAGAAGACCGTTTGCATATGTTTTACATTTTTTGTACAACATAACTTCTAAGCTCTATAGCAATCTAGATGTTCAAAGTAGTTAAAAATTGATACGTCAATTTATTAGCAATTATCTATTTTATTCTAGTGACTGTTTTGAATTTCGAAATATTTGTATCCAAAAAGATGAGAAATGAGATTGTGTGTGAAACAGATAGTGACAAAGTATAATTTTTGCCAAAAGTCGTTAGTAAAAATGTACTTATTACTTAATCTGTTTTCCATGTAACTTCAATTTTTGTCTTCATGTAGAAAAACTTGTTCAACATTTAAAAGAGTCATTGCAATGAATTAGATCATAGTTCATAACTAATTATATAGGTTGTCATTGAATTTAAAGAATTACGACGAAATGTTTATAAAATCCAACATTTTTAAGCATTTAGTTATGACATGATGCAGTTGTTGGTTATCTATGCAATCCTGAGAACATCACTCTAGAACTACTACGAAGTCATCACCGTCATTACATTTTCTTACGTTAATAATATTTGTTCTCTAAGTTCTTGAGCTGACTTGGGATAGTTCTTTTTCCAAATGTCCGCTCACTCTCTTGATTCTGTTTGGTTTTTTTTTGTTGAAAACATTAAATTTCATAAATTACTTGTGTGATTGTACGAACATTCGTATAAATAGACTAGTTTGATTATATATGCTGATATTTAACGGAAAAGTTATCATGTTACATTTCAAAGTGAACAATTAAGTTTTCGAGTAAGTTACCAGAAATCCAAATATATTACCACTATTAATCGAATATTTCTATTTTTAGAGGCTCTTCGAATTGACACATCGATCTTCATGAATAACTGTCTCTTTTGAAAAGCAAAGTTATATTAATAGAAACTTGTTTATGAGTGTGAAATTTTCAACTATCATTTAATTAGTTCCTTAATAAATAAACTAATGGTGTTTCTTATATTATTTGGCAGGCTATAAGTAATTCTTTATAGCATATAGATGGTGTTGTCGTGGAACATTTGACTAAATTTAAAGTACTCTCACTAAATTCTCAACATTTTTAATTAATAATTATTTAAAATTAGACTTCACAGTGATCTTATCCATAAAATTATTAAATGTGAAAGAAGAACGAGATGCACAGATGATGAGAAAAAGCATACACACAGGTGTCTAAACATATATTGAAGAGTGTAAGTGTGTGGGTGTCGATGTGGGTGTGTGTAAAAAAAAAAGACTCACATTCAAACTCACATCCACACCTTATGGTGATTTTACATGAGAAAAAGCTCTTACTCAAAACGATAGTCTCCTGTCTTTACATGCAAAAAAAAGATAATAAAAAATATAGGATCTGTCATTATTTCTGGCATCATTTTCGTGCTTTGTCATCTTCTCGAGCGATGAGGCTTGAAATCGACACGACAAAAGTTAATGTAATTCTAATTAATGCCTAGCCGATGTGTTTACTCGTAGCCCACGATGTTATTAAACGAATACGATCTTCAATCTTTTAAATGCTGATATATTTCATCATTCTGGATCAAAACGTCATATTTCATACTTTATCGTTTGTAATGCACTCCAAAGTGCTGATGTAAAATTTTTCTCTCTTGACACTCTTACGCGTCATTTAAAATAATTATAAACCTTTTGTAACATTTTCGGCTGATTAATGCATGTGGATATGTGTAACAATAAGACTCGCATCCAAACACACACCCACACCCACACTGACACACAGATATACACATCGATATGAACATGATATTTATAGATAAGAAATCCCTTAGAAGAACTTCATCAGTATAATAGTAATCAATTGAATATTTTCTAAATGAACAGTCACTATTCGATTCATTCTTATTGCTATAGTAATTGAATACACTTCAAATCTTCTTGTTTCATTCTCATGATTTGGCGGATAGCATTTCAATGAACTATTGATATATATGCAATCTTCACGAACGATCATTCAGTGATCATTGAAATTTTCAAGAATACATTGTTAGAAATAGACGCTTTTTCAAATGATGGCCACTGAATACATACTATTTCATTTATAAATGCAGCTTCTTTTTTTAAACATAAGCACTCATATCTGGACTACAAATTCACTTAATAATTCAAATTTTCATTTTAGATAATATATTTAACACTTAGTTTTTGAATATTTTCGTTGTTCTAGATAACTCAGACACTTTCTTCATTTTTCATACGCTACTCTCCAATTCAAGTGCATTTGAATTCATATATCTCAAACAGGCTCAAGATATCACCAATCATTGTGTTATAAAAGAACTTATTGCTTAAGTTTACACTGATACAGGAATTATTTTTTAAACGAATTTTAAAAAAATGGTTGGAATTGATGTAAGAAACAAAAATATTCTAGATACAAAATACACTTGCCCTAAGTGTTTTTTGATATTACGAGATCCTGTACAACTGAGCATATGCGGTCACCGACAATGTCAATCATGTTTCAATACTCAACAAGGGTAAATTTCACCAGAAAATAGCCTTCATACTTTTCATTATTTTCTTTAGAACAACAATCACATGTCCACAATGTCAAACAGAAATACCACACAATCTAGTAAGATATCATTTTTTTCTTTCAATAGAGCACAATGTTTTGTTGTTTAGGTAATGATCGATCGAGGTTTCAAAAGTGATATGCTATCGCTTCTCATCGAATGTATTTTTTGTCAATGGAGTGGCCTATTAAATAACTACCAAGTAACATATCCTATACTCATTCTAGTCCTCAACATTTTATTCTTTTCTTCTAAAGGAGCATCTCGATCAATCTCATCCAAATCCAAAATGTGAACATTGTGGAGAACAGTTCAACTCAGTCAACAAACTCAATGAACATAAAGTCTTGGAATGTCAAAAACTGACCATCATTTGTGTGTTGAAAGATTTTGGTTGTAATGAACAGGTATTTTTATTCATTGGTTCAAAGTGATCTTTGAAAATCTGTTTGTTTATTTTAGATTATTCGTGGCAAAAAAGAAGAACATTTTTTGACGAAACCACATCAAGACGCAATACTTAAAGTTGTTCGTCAAATGAGATCACAATTACTCGATAGACAAATGAACACAGATGTTGCTCGAACAACAAGTGCAACAACTAGTGATCCTGCATCAGCTCAATTGCAGGAGTTGTATGAAACATTGAATATCTTGGCAGGTGGCATCGAGACATTGAATGATGATGGACAACGTCTCAGCAATGAATCACTTCAATGTCAAATTAAACTTCAAAAATTGGCAGAAGACTTTTCGCAAGTTAAGTTATCTATCGAAGAATCAGATTTGTTTTTGGAAGGAGTGAAACAGAATCAAGAGATTCTCAATCANTTACATAATAGTTTTAGTGGACTCTCTTCCAAATAAATCTGAATTACATTTGCTTTCTTTGACGTAAAAATTAATCTTAATTTATATTTTCAATTGATAAAGAGTAGAATTCTAATTATTCAAATAAATGTGGACGAGATCTTTTTTCTAAAGAATTTACAAAATCAACCTTCTTTCCTGAATTTTTTTGTTTTTCCAGATATGTTTGTGATTTCATATATCAATAAAGGCTAGCATCTGATACTAATTTCTACATACAACACTTGTTATGACACTTACTGAATGAAAAAAATCCATGAGACAGTGCTGAATTTAAAAAAGACTTCTAAACTTTTCTTTCAATCGCATGCATTCATGATGAAGTTGTACCAAAGCTTTAAAATAAAGTACTATATGATCACAAATTTCAATTTACAGGTTACTTGCGCTTATAATATTCATCATCGTATTCGACTCGTACTAACAATTACGTTTTATGTAGATAAAAAGAAATAATAAAAAAATCGTAAAGCATACAATGTTGTTGCACAATCACATGTAAAGCTCGAAGAAAAAGAACATGACTCAATTTCCACAACAGAAATGGAAGAAGAAAAAAACATTTACCGGTTCGAGATGCAACTCGTTCTTTCTCTATTGTTGATTCTAACTAATGACGTAAAAGCTTTTTTTTCGTAGTTACTAGCAAATGATGGTGTCTTCGAGAGCCCAATGTCATATTTATAAGTGCATTTCTTTTTTTTTTATTCCTGCCTAAGAAAAAATTAATCATTGTCTTTTTCTTTTTTTGTATTCTACATAACAGTCAGTATATATACAGATGAAATTGTCAGAATAATTATTTGACTATTTCTTTTAACATTATTCTTAAAAGTGTTTGATCTGATCCGTAGTATGTAATGCAAATTATTTATTCTGGTGAGTACATTTTTAAATTATAAAAGAAAAAACGAATGATCTTTATGGATATTAGTTTCGTTTTTTAGAGTTCGCAAACTTTGTCATTAGAGTATGGCGCAAATTAGAAGATACTTATTACTATGGAAAGTAAAAAATATATATATCGAGTCTTCGTTGAACCACTTGCTTAATGTTTGTCATCGCTTTTCAGAAGAAAGAGTAATGACCATCACTACTTCGTCCAATAGCTCAAGAATGAAACGAGCTAGAAACCTGAAGTTTTGAAGATTGTATACATAAATAGTTATTGTATCAAATCATACAGAAGACCGTTTGCATATGTTTTACATTTTTTGTACAACATAACTTCTAAGCTCTATAGCAATCTAGATGTTCAAAGTAGTTAAAAATTGATACGTCAATTTATTAGCAATTATCTATTTTATTCTAGTGACNCCATTTTTGAATTACTAGCACCTTCCTTTTCCACCCCCAAAAATGTATAAAATTTCTGAAAGTTTCTTAAGTTCGATATTAAAAGGTTTACATAACCCTTACTATTTATCATCAATAAATCCCATTTTTCACGGGATTTCATTTGGTATAAAATTCATCATGTCACCTATTTGAAATTATAGCGTTACCCCCCTGGAATAATATTTTTTCCAACCATGTACATCTTACTTGCACCTATAATGTTGTATCATTGTATTCGATTCGTACTACAATCATCTTTTATGTAGATAAAAAAAAAGAACGTAAATCATACAATGTTGTTGTGCAATTACATGCAGAGTTCGAAGAAAAAGAACATGACTCACTTTATTACAGAACAGGAATAAAAAAAGAAAAATAATATTTATTGGTTCGAGGTGCGACTCGTTCTTTCTCGTTTGTTTATTCCAACTGATGACGTAAACTTTTTTTTCGTAGTTGCTACCAATTGATAGTGCCTACATGAGTCCTACGTCATATTTATTAGTGCATTTTTTTGTTTAGTTCTGCCTAAGAAAAAAATGAATCATTTTTTTTTTGTGTTGTATGTAAGAGTAAGTATATATACACATGACATTGTAAGAATAATTATTTCACTATTTCTTTTAACGTGATTCTGATCCGTAGTATCGAATGCAAATTATTCATTCTGGTGAGTACGTTTTTTAAATTATAAAAAAAAACGAATGATCTTTATAAATATTAGTTTCGTTTTTAGAGTTCGCAAAACTTATAATTAGAGTATGGTGCAAATTAGAAGATATTTTTTTTACTATAAAAAGTAAAAGATATGTATATTGAGTCTTCGTTGAACCGCTTGCTTTCCAGAAAAAAGGACTATTGACCGTCACAACTTGTTCCAATAGTTCAAGAATGAAACGAGCTAGAGATCTGAAATTGTGAATATTATATACATAAATAGTTATATTAGCAAATCATATACAAGATAATTTTTTTGTACAACATAAATTTTCTACAAGTTGTTTCGTGATTCTTTTAAGCTCTACAGCAATCTATATATTTAAAATAGTTAAAAAATGTCTTGAGAGTTTTTAATGGCCTAACTTCTGTAACTCTTACAGTTTTTAAGCTGTACATGATTTCGTGATATATATATACTGTGGCGTTGTTTTTAACAGAATACAGGATGAGCCATAAATATCTTTACGATAAAAAATTTGAATATCTCAATTACAACTCGAGCAAATGAGCTGATTTTTTTATCAATGCTGGAGACATGTTCAAAGTTTATATCTATCAAGGCATACCTAAACAGACTCCTTTCTAAGTATTACTACTGATCGCAACAACAAAAAAATTACTTTTTCACATATAGGAAAAAAATACTATATAGGATGGTGCAAAAGTCACTTTACTAGAAAAAAGATTGAACATCTCTACTACGACTTGAGCAAACGAACTGATTTTTTTACCAATAATGAGGCAAGTTCAAACTTTATATTCATAATGACATGCCTAGATAGACCCTTTGTTAAATATATTGTTCTTTTTCCTATATGCGAAAAAGTAACAATTTTTTGGTTGAGATACTTAAGAAGGAATCTATTTAGGCATGTCTTTATAGATATAAACTCTGAACATGTCTCTATCATTGTAAAAAAGTCAGCTCATTTGCTCGAACTGTAACGGAGATATTCAGATTTTTTATGGTAAAGATATTTATGGCTTACCCTGTAAAATATGATATTCATTGACACATCAATTTATTAACTATTATCTATTTTGTACTATAGTGATTCTTTTGAATTTCGAAATATTTTTTTCCAAAAGACGAGAAATGAGTTTGTGTGTGAAGCGGATCGCAGCAAAGTATAATTTTGTCAAAAGTCGTTAGTAAAAGTGTACATATTACTTGATCTGTTTTTTTGTCTTCGGATAGAAAAACTTGTTCAACATCTAGGAGAGTCATTGCAACGAACTAGATAATAATTCATAACCAATCATATAGGTTGCTATTGAATTTAAAGAATTATGACAAAATATTTAGAAAATCCAACATTTTTAAGCATTTACTTATGACATGATGCAGTTGTTGGTTATCTATGCAATGCTGAGAACTCCACTCTCGAACTACTATACGAAGTCATGACGATCATCACTTTTTCTTACGATAATAATATTTATTCTCTAAGTTCTTGAGATGACTTGAGATAGTTCTTTTTCCAAGTACTCGCTCAATCTCTTGATTTTGCTTGATAATTTTTTTGTTGAAAACATTAAATTTCATAAATTACTTGTGTGATTGTAGGAACATTTATGTAAATAGACTAGTCTGATTATACATATTCTGATACTGAACGGAAAACTTATCATGCTACATTTCAAAGCGGACAATTAAGTTTTCGAGTAAGTTATCAAGACTTCAAATATATTACCATTATTAATCGAATATTTCTGTTTTTAGAAGCTCTTCGAATTAACATATCAATCTTCATGAATAACTATCTCTTTTTAAAGGCAAAGTTATATTAATAGAAGCATGACTATCATATAATTAGCTCCATAATAAATAAACTAATGGTGTTTCTTATATCATTTGACAGGCTATCAGTTATTGTTTATAGTATATAGATGGTGTCCTGGAACGTTTTGACTAAATTTAAAATACTTATACTAAATTCTTTACATTTTCAATTGATAATTATTTAAAATTAAGCTTTACAATGATTTTATCCATAAAAATATTAAATGTGAAAGGAAAACAAGATGCATAGATGATGAGAAAAAGCATATAGACATGTGTCTAAACCGGATCGTGTCCACTTGTTCGACAATCACTTGGCCGATACCATTTGGCCGACATGTACACTTCGCCGACAAATATTTGAAGTCAAAAAAATTAAAATTTTTTGTAGTCTGTTTTTGACAACATGGAATTTCCATTTCCAAGAACTAAAAACAAAGTCAAAGCCTGGCATCGGCACTGGGAAATATTAATTGCTCAAGCTCACGTTGGTATTTTCACTATGATTAAACAAATTCAACAAGAACAAAATGAAGTTGAAATGGAAATTGAAAAATCGATGCACGGAGAACCAGCTCCAAAGAAGCACAAGGAGGATGAAAATAGAGAATTCCAAATTGAAAATGTTATGGCTGATCGCGATAATACATCAGCTATCGATTTTCTTCGGGGTATTGCCCATAATCTTTCGTTATAAATATTTGTGACTTTTAATAAAAAGATTTTCTGACGCAATATTTTCAAGAAATTTTAATTTTTTTGACTTCAAATATTTGTCGGCCAAATGCGGTGTCGGCGAAGTGTACATGTCGGCCAAACAATTTGTCGGTCAAATGATGTCGGCCAAGTGACCTGGACCCGTCTAAACCTATATTGAAGAGTGTGAGTGTGTGTAACAAAAGGACTCACATCCAAATCTACAGACACCTCTACACTCACCGACACCCATACCCAAAAACTCTTATTCACGACAATAGTTTAATGTTTTTATATGCAAAAAGAAAGATAATCAAAGACATAGGATCTATCATTACTTCTGGTATCATTTTTGTGTTTTCTCATCTTCTCGAGTCATAAAGTTTGAAATCAACACGACGAAAGTTGGTGTGGGTCTAATTAATGCCTAGCCAATGTATTTATTCGTAGGCTACGATATTATTAAATGAATCAATGTCATACGATCTGAAATATTTCATTATTCTTGATCAAAACGTTATACTTCATACTTTATCGTTTGTAATGTATTTCTCTCTTGACACTCTTACACGTTATTTAAATTAACTGAAAACCGTCTGTAACACTTTCAGCTGATGATACCGATCTAGCGGAGAATGGACAATAATAATCAGATTTATGTAGTTCTCTACACTCGTATTAAATTATTCACTATTGAAAGAAATATAGATGTATATAATTGTTTTTGTGCCACTAATACCGAAAAAAGGCATGATTTTAAATTAATTTATTGATGTTAGTTTTAAATATCTCAAATAGTGATAATTCTGTAGAATGTGATAAATTGATATACACTCACTTTTCTATTTGTGATTAAAGATAAATATATTTTCTTACAAAATAATATAGAAATTCTTGTCAAACAGTCAGAATCTTGATCAAACTGTCGTCTAGGCAATGAAAGTTAGAGCTATTATTATTCAGATAAGTAGAGATTTTTTGACAAATTCTGATTTTTTTTAATGTAAAATATTTTATATAATTCTGGTTGCTGTAAGGAATAGATATGAAGAAATGTGTCAGAGCAAAAAGGAAGTTTTGCGCTGTCAATCTAACGTAAAACTCATCTGTAAAGCCAATCAATATGTCTCTTGTCGAAAGTTCAAAACTGATTACTCTCAATGATCTCTCTTGATTAGATGTACTCGTAGAAAAGTCTTTCGAAATACCATCGTATGTGAAACTAATTAATTACACCTCAAACCACTTTTTGTGAGTGTATAAAAGTAAATCTTTTGAGCATATAACGACAAAACACGTTATAATTTTAGTCAATTACTGACTATATTAAAAAATTAGTTACACATATAAAATAAATATACGTTAGAGACATGACATTTATTGAACGGTTCGAGTTTGATCAGTTTATCCAGATGAGGTCTAAAAAAAAATTTGTCTACTTTTACTTTAGACCCTATTCAAATATTGATCTAATCGTTATATGATATAATAGCGAAATGTTTCATAATATCAACAAACAACGCATGATATACCTACTCAGTTATGAATAATATTTGATGTAATCTTAACATATCTTAATAATGAATAAGGCAGAACAGTCATTTTTGAAATTATTAATTCGTAATGCAAATAATTTCTGAAATTATCGATGAATAACACTAACTGAATCATTAGTACTGCCTGTTATATATATATATAAATAGATACTACCGAGAACTTGTGCATATTACATGGCTTTTTTTCCTGTAAAGTTTCATATCAATGCTTTGGGTGGCTGACATTTCGCATTAATTCATTCCGAACTTCTGTCATGTATCAGGAGGTTCGGACATGATTTTTTTCGTGGATAATTTTCATTACGAACATCCTGTCTTTTTATTTTCGAATGATTTTTGTCATTCCGAATACCCTGTCTTTTTTCCCTATGTTCGAAAATCGTAACGAACTCCAAAACCGGGAGATCGTAATGACAAGTTGGTGCGAAATGTCCCTTTCCTCTATGCTTTAACCTCGACTCGGTAACAGACAAGCACACACTTCGTATTATATATATAGATAGACCTTATAGCCTTATTCCCTTATATTCTTACCCTCTTGTAGGCTTACCCTTATTCTTTGTAGTCTTATTTTCTCATACTCTTTTACCCTTGTAGTTTTTGAATTTTAATCTTTGGCTTGGCACTGACACACAGATCTGAACATTATATTTATAAATAAGCAATTCTTCAGAGGAAATTCATCGGTATATCAATAATCAATTGAATATCTTCTAAAGGAATGGTCATCATGTGATCTATTCTTATTATTATAATAAGTCAATACACTTCAAACCATCTTGTTTCACTCTCATGATTTGGCGGATAGCTTTCCAATCAATTATTGGTATGTATATAATCTTTACGAATGATCATTCGATGTTCATCGAAATTTTCACGAATACATTGTTATAACTAGACGCTTTTCAAATGATAGTGGATGAACACATTATTCCATTTAAAAATTCAAATTCTTTTATTTTTTTAGTATAAGTTCTCATATCTGAACTATAAATACACTTAATAATTCAAATTTTTATTTTAGAAAACATATTTAACATCTAGTTTTTGAAAGTGTTTGTTATTTTAGATAATTTAGACACTAGTCATTATATTATAAAAAAAACTTTCCGTTTAAGTTTACACTGATACAGGGATTATTTTTTAAACCAATTTAAGAAAAAATGGTTGGAATCGATGTAAGAAACAAACATATTCTTGATACAAAATACACTTGCCCTAAGTGTTCTTTGATACTACGAGATCCTGTACAACTGAGCATATGTGGTCATCGACAGTGTCAATCATGTTTCAATACTCAACAAGGGTAAATCTCATTAGAAAACAGTATTTCATATTTTTTCATTTTCTTTAGAACAACAATCACATGTTCACGATGTCAAACAGAAATGTCACATCATCAAGTAAAGTATCTTTTTTTTCTTTTCGTAGAGCACAATATTTTATTGTTTAGGTAATGATCGATCGAGGTTTCAAAAGTGAAATGCTATCACTCCTAATAGAATGTATTTTTTGTCAATGGAGCGGCTTCTTAAATAACTATCAAGTAATCTATCCTATATTCATTCTAGTAGTCCTGAACATTTTATTCTTTTCTTCTAAAGGAGCATCTTGATCAATCTCATCCAAATCCAAAATGTGAATATTGTGAAGAACAGTTCAATTCAGTTGACAAACTCAATGAACATAAAGTCTTGGAATGTCAAAAACTGACTATCATCTGTGTATTGAAAGAATTTGGTTGTAATGAACAGGTATATTTATTCATTATTTAAAAGTGTTTCTTTGAGAATCTGTTGTTTTTTTTTATTTTAGATCATTCGTGGTAAAAAAAGAAGAACATCTCTTGACGAAACAACATCAAGATGCAATACTTAAAGTTATTCATCAAATGAGATTACAAGTACTCGATACACAAATGGATACAGATGTTGCTTGGACAACAAATACAACAACTAATAGTTATTCTGCATCGGTTCAATTGCAGGAGTTGTATGAAACATTGAATATTTTGGCAGGCGGCATCGAGACATTGAATAATGATGGACAACGTCTTAGCAATGAATCACTTGAATGTCAAATTAAACTTCAAAAATTGACAGAAGTCTTTTCGCAAGTTAAGTTATCTGTCGAAGAATCACATGGTTTTTTGGAAGGAGTGAAACAGAATCAAGACATTCTCAATCAAGATTTAGCATCATTGAAAGAAAGAATCAATGATATGCAGTATGTTTCATATGATGGAACATTTGTATGGAAAATTACAAACTTTCAAGAGAAAATGAGTAAGTAGAACAATCATTTCTCACGCATGATAAAAGTAGAATATTTTTCGAAAGGATAATTAGAAAATAAGAAGAGACTTGATTTAAATAGCATTGACAAATAATAAATATACGATTGAATAGTATAATTATCGAAAGATGCAGTGTATACGAAATATATTGATGTGTTGATGAAATGAATCATTACTCTTGTCGATCCGTCGAATTTCTTTTATACTTGCTTCTACTCCTCTATACTTATTTGTTTTACTTAATTTCTAGCTGATGCACAATCTGAGCGACAAACTTCAATCTATTCTCCGCCATTTTATTCGTCACCTACTGGCTATAAAATGCGAGCACGTTTATATCTCAATGGAGATGGCAATGCACGTCGTACACATATTTCACTGTTTTTTGTGCTCATGCGAGGTTCGAACGATCCTATTCTCAAATTTCCGTTTACCTATAAGGTCACATTTTGTATGTATGATCAAACGCCACAACAACGACATATCATTGATTCATTTCGACCAGATATTAGATCGAATAGTTTTCAGCGACCAAGATCCGATATGAATATTGCAAGTGGCATACCAAAATTTTTTCCATTGGCAATGATTCAACAGGAAGGAAATCCATATGTTCGAGATGATACAATGTTCATCAAAGTGATGATTGATTTTGGTGACATGCCTAAAACGCTTTTGGCTTACGCTTTGAGTATCAATCCAGGCCTACCAACCCATGTTCAACAGACAATGATCAAACAAGAAGCGGAACGTAGAGCTCAACAACAACCCCAGCAGCAACAGCACACACCCACTACATAATAAGTGTTTGACAGGGGGTCTATCAACTCCAGCTCATCAGTTTACATCAAATGAGCTCATGAACTAAGCTGTCAAAAAAAGATCAGTTCAGTTCTAGAGATTGATCGAGCGGTAGTTAATAAGCTGCCTTTAACTTTCCAAGAGTTCCTTGGACATATTTCCTATTGGTTTTGTGAAACTCACATATATTTTCGAAGAAAACAGTGAGTGTAAGTTTTAAGTCGAAGTTTTGTGGCTCCCATCCCCCTTCTCATTACAGACACTTAGCAACGTAAACTTCCATTACAGACCATAGTAACTAGGATAGTCCCCCCCCCCCCCAGTACAGAACTTAGCAACAGGGTAGCCCCCTCCCCAGTATAGGCACTGTCCATTACATGGTTTAGTAACTGAGAATAACAGACGTCAGATTTTCTAGAGTTTTTTGAGCAATTGATCCAGTTATAATTTTGAAAAATAATGAATGTTATTGTTTGTGAGTTGATTATACATAATAGTGCGTAAGATTTGTTGTAGATATCATAGATATGTAAAACAGACTTATATATCAATTAATTCAATGATTATAGTAATAAAAATATAAAATTAAGAAAATGTACTTTAAAAAAACGAAAAAATAATGAGCGAATAGCAACAATGCAAACAAAAAATAGGGCGCTCGTAGGAAAAAATAAAAAAATTTCTATTCGAAATGTAGAAATTCGAGAAGTTCTTTCTCTGGCGATCGATTATCTTGCACAACAACTATAGTGTGCCGATACATGCGTTACGGCTCGCTGCTCTTCCTCTTTTCTCTTTTCTCTTTCCTCTTTCTCTCTCTATTGTTGTCTCTCTCTGTTTCTCTATCATATATAAGTGTGTTGAATATGCAATGGGGAGACTCTGGATATGTAAAGTAGCTAATAAACATCATTGCCAAGAGTGGCACAAGCTACTCGATCCAGTTTGTCGTTACATNTTTTTTTTTATCGAATTAACAATATCTAGTATAGCTAAGGTGTGAATATGTCAGTTTCACACAGGCATCAAGTTAATTCTAACATTTTGATTTTTCTCTTGTAAATCGGTCGATTCTCTTTGATTGACAAAACTCAATAGACTTTATTCGTGAGTACCATCTCACAAGATTTTTTTTATTGAATTTCAGTAATTTATCAAAAAATTATTGTGAATACAAAATTGTGAAAACATCATCTTGAGAACTACGTACACCCTTGTCAATATTTCTTAGATCAATAATAAGTTGTGTAAGAAAGTACTATTAATTCATTTAAAACTTTTCCGAATGAATCATATTTTGACGCATAGAGCCAATGACAAACTGATTGATAAACTTTTTTCAGGAAAATTTTATTCGGAATATCGAGGTTCAGGTCGGACAGACTGTCATCATCGAATATAGAATCGGCATCGACTTGATCTCGAAAATATGTTCCATGTACAACACTGCATATTCATCTCAAAAGTCTTAAAATAAATGATATTATTCGTGTCTTTTAGAGTTAAAACTTTATTAAAGAAAAAAAAAAACAAAGTTCTTCGAATTTTTTATACGAAGACTAATCATATTTTAATATTTCGATAATTTTAAATATCTCGTAATTAGTAATTTAACTAATGATGGAGAAATATATGAGCATACTATAACAATAAACATATTTATATTTAAATTAATTATTTCTGTTAATACATTAGCTAATAAAAATCTATGGTTAAACTTTTTTTTGATTAACATTTTTAATTAACATTGATTCAGTTAAATAAATTTTTCTTGATGATAACCATTGTATTATTCTAAAGCATCCTAAACATGTACAAGCTAAACCAATTGTACTTGAAATATAAAACAAATTACATCATTTTCTTGATGGATTATAACTAATCGTACATAATATAATCATGAGAATAAAAACTATAATTCCCATTTGTTTATATTTATTATTAATTATAAATTTTCCAATAGAAATTCCAATTAAATATAAACAAACATATTCACCTAATGAAAATATTCCTTCGCGATTAACATCAATAAAATTTTGTTGCAAATTATTTGATAATATTAAATAATTATTAAATTGAAAATATATGATATTAGCTTTAATAAATAATATCCAATTAATTTCATAAAACGTAATGTTAAAAAAAATTCCAATGAATATCGCTGGATATCTTGAAAAATCAACTGAAAGAATACATATACATGTTGCAATTAATATCTGACCATGAAATAATTCAATTATACGAGAATATGATTTATTATTTGTTTGAATAGATTTTATTGATAGATTTGTTTTTATAAAATAAATTAAATATTGAGAAACTGTCAATACTAGATAATGGTATTAATGATTTTAATATTTGACGTAAAAAATGTGTTGCCCATGCACTTATAATTACAGAACTTGTTTCATAAAGATTTGTGTCATTTAAATTACTGGCAAATAGTTCTTTTTGTTGACGATAAGCGTTCATTTTATCTGAACAGGAAAAAACAAACTTTACGACTTTTACTTTTACTTTAAACATAGTCTTCAGTCATAATGAAAGTTCGTGTATCAGAGGCCGAAACTAGGCGGGACAAGGAAAATTTAGGATGGGACAAACAAAGCGGGGTGGGAAGAAGTTACGGCAGGGCGATACGAGACTTGGTTAAGTTAAAATCTCCTAACTTTCCTCATTACAGCTTTACAATGTAAATATTAATATATATTCTATATATTTGAATAATGCATTTAAAGATTAGGGATAAGAGTCTCTGTGCAATAGATTATATATTCAATACTTTGTACAAGTATAAAAGTGCTTCGTTAAATGTGAATAGTCTCTATTGAGTTCTGTCTTAATCGTGGATGATGCATCGATAAAGAGTGCAAGAGAAAAAATCGGCGTCTATTGATAGACTGATTTCTCAAATTAGACTACCTAAAAGTTTGTCAAATGCTAAAACAAAAAATTTTAAGTAGAATTTATTTATACATTCACTTTTTCATTTCTGTGTAACATCAGAATTGTTGCATATCGCAAAAACATCAACTGCTCAGCATTTCACTAGAATCATATGCAATTTGTATTTGTTAAATAGCTTCCTATACGCTATTCAAACGTACTAAGAAAGCGAGAGAAGCATATTCATTTTGTAGACATGAAATCAAGCATTTGAGCAAAACTTTACTACTTAAAAGAGACATACAAAGTATATGTCCATAGTTATTGGGCCGAAGATGTATATAAGGTATTCTGTTGTTTTTCAACACGAGACACATTAAGAATGTCCAAATCAGAGGTCGAAATAGAGACGATGTTTTGCTTTTTGCTCCCTGTCCCACCCTGGCTTGTCTTTACACATTAATTTTATCACTGGAATGTGGTGTATGTATGTGTGAATTAGAGACCTACGAATTCTAAAACTCATTAAGACTCTGACTTCCTTTTGAACATTTTTTTAAGTCTGCTTCTGAAATTTATTAATGGACTCCGATTCTGACTTCCAAGGGTCCTGAAATTTTTCTTCATAAATTAGTGACAGCTTACACGTGAGTGTGGATGTAGATATAGAGAACATCAATATCCACATACACACCCCACACACCCACACCCAAGTCTGCAGTTAAGACATTTGCCATTCGTATTTGTATTAATCGATGAGTTTATGTTCTTAATATGAACTTTTTTAGAAGAAATTCTAAGGCGGGGAAATACGTTGGGGATATAATTCATCCCCGCCCCGTTTCTATCTCTGGTCCAAATAGACACACTATTTGATGCACTAGACAACCTTATATGCCTTACTTGAATAAAAGTCAAATTTGAGATCAACCTAATTTGGCTAAATTGGATTAATGAGTGTCTTGATTTTGAAGCTGAGAAGTTGGCTTTTTCCTGATATTCAGTGACTTTGGTATTGCAAAAAATGCACCTAACGATGATTTAGCAGAGAAAATTTCTTATTTTATTGTAATAGGACATGGATTTATTATAATATCATATAACTAAATTCAGCATAAATATAAAAAATTAGTGTCATGTTGAAAAAATAAATCTTATTCAAGGGGGTGGGTGTGGCTGTAGGTTTGAGTTTGGATGAAGAGTGAACCCACACCCTCGAGATGAATTCTGCGTAAAAGATCCAAGACAAATTTTGGGATGGATTATTATTATGGATGATAATCATTTACGACGTTATGGACTTGATAGAGCATTGGAAAGTACTTTTTGTGGATGTATATAAACGATTAAGGTCGAATTTTATCGTGAAAACCAAGTGCTCTAATTGTTCTAGAAGAAAGTCAACATCACTAGCGTAATGTATTATACCAATGGCGATTATTATAACGAGTTTATTTTCACCTTTTACAATAAACTGGACTTTTCTAAAATGACTTATATATTGTTCATTGCTATTTAAGAAGAGTCGTATCAAGAATAATGCTGAAAATTTTGGAAAATTAAAACGTCATCTTGGATATATCTTGAATGTAACTGTTTATTTTTGTACAAAAATTGAAATCTGGGTTATTTAAAACATTGAAGAATGTATTCCAACCATTCAAATTTTAGGGAAGATTCTGAAATTTTCTCGAACCTATTAAGCATTATTGTTAATCTAGTTCAGCCTATTTCAAGTCGCAAAAACCTAAGTAAAAACTTATACTCGCTATTTCTTGGAAAATATAAGTGAGCTCCACAGCTTGTGTTTTGTATTTCATGAATTCTAACTACAACGTCGGATAGAACAGAAAAACTTGTTCAAGGCAGATTGATAAAACTGTCAGACAGCTACAGTTTTTATAGGAAAGAAAGATCATCTTTGAGACTATTCTTCATGAATTCTCACATCTCTGTTTGATGATATTCTCAAAATTTGACCCCAAAATCATCAGTTTTATCTTGCAATAGATATCAGAAATTCCGAGAGATGTGTCGAAATACCTTTCAGAACATAAAATTATGAATTTATTACCATTGAAATGTTCAATCAAAAATGATTGGAAACAATGACATTACAAATTACTTTTTTAAGTTAAATAGCGATAGAAATTTCCTTATAATACATGAAGGCAGCAACAAATGACTAAAAAAATGCACCACATAGATGAACTACAAGTTGTTTAGTATCTGTATTATCAACGACATATTGTACTAGAATACAACTTGAAAATCGATCATGACATATGTAAATGATTAGCGAATTCATATCTAATCATAGAAAAGACTCATCAGTAAACCGTCGATAGCATTGATAAGTAGATAAAGAATAGTTAGAATGATAAAAGCTAAACTGGCTAAAATCAATACAAATGTAAGTAACCAAAGATTTTCATTAAATTGGAATTCAGCTGTTTGAATGCCCACCATGTGATAAGTCCAGATCAAGAGCACCACAAATAATACCTGAGACTAACGAATAGTTACAAATACGACGAACACTAGTAAAATGAATAAAAAAATGCCCCGCTTGAATATCAAGACAGCAGAGAAGAATTCCAGTTAGAATACCCATAATACCTGAATAGAAAAAATTATTGATTATGAGAATCAATCTAGAATACACAATATTCAATTATCGAGTGAAAGAAGATGCTTTTAAATTATAATTTACCAAATGCAAAATCATATGCTACTGCTATTTTTCATAAAAAAACTACTAAACATCTGCTTTCATAACTAGAACAGTGCTATATGAATAATTGTCAATCTGCACTTTTAGTCATTCATTACGAAGAATAGAAGATTGACATAGAATTTTCGATATGGAGAAAATCAGAACAAAACTTCTAATATTTTGACTTTGGCAAGATGTAAACATAGCTTTTTCTTGTTGGAAAACTTTGATAAATTTTAATCGATGCTTTAAAATGATCAGAATCCAAGTTTCTGCAGAGATAACGGTCGTTTTTAAGGCATGAAAAAACAAAACTAAATCGATTACATCATACTCAGTTATTGAATTTCCTTGCAAATGGATTCTTATACGGTTTTTACTAGAAAAGTTCTATCTGGAATTGTGTTATAACTCGTCGAAGAAAATTTCTAGTATGAATTTATTTGCAAAGAACTGATTGAGACAAACAAAAAAACATCTAGTTTTATCTAGTTGAGCGTTTTCTGTATTATGAAAGTTTTACATATTTATTAAATTCTCTATGAATTAATAAATAAAAATTCACTTGTTACCACCAGAATCATACAGAACTTGAGTATGGCAGATTTCTTTGCAAGTTGGCTCCTGGTGTAAATGAGAATTTCCTAAAATCAATCAATCAATATATTCAAAAGCTCCTACGAGGAAAAGAAATCAATAAGCAAAGGCTTGAAAAACGAATAAATAGATACTTAACTGCGAAATAATTTACCTCCGGTGCAATTCCAATATCTCCCATGATTATATTTTCCACCAAGACCTAAATACCTGGTAGGACAATTCCGAATATGAAGAAGAAAAGTTATCAGAATCCAAGCTGTTATAATCATTAGAACAATAAACCATTGAACCCAAAACTATAAAATAGAGATTTTTAACATAGGAAAAAAAGACAAAAATATTATTTCACCAATGGATAGCCGTGTTGTATCTCGTTGGTCGTTCTTTTTTGTCTAAGACAAGAATAATTACAGCAGTAAAAAAAACACAATGCCAATCGCTGAAGAGAGCCAAAAATCCGAATATTTTAAAACTTTATTAAGCCATCTTGACCAGTGAGCCCATGATTTGTAACTCATCGTCTTAAAAATAGAGTCCTACGGGAGAAAGTGCGGTAGCTGACTTATTGCTTTTCACTCTCTTAGTTGCCATGATAAATTCTTCTTATCAACGCATTAATCAGAACTTCAATCAACCACTCGCTTTCCATAGTTAATCATAATTTCGAAATGAGGAAAAAGCTGTCCAAGATCGTGAGAATGTAATAAATGGACATCTACAACCGTTTTTTCAAAAATTCGGTTATGTTCGGAGGTTATAAGAATATCACCTGGGAGTATCTTTATATGGTCCTACACTTGATCCAATCTAAAAAGAATTTCGTATTCAATGGATTAAGGAATAACCAATAATGATCAGAAATTATAGATAATCTTAACCGCATAAATATCCTCCCAGCTCAAGAAGTATGAGCCGGTTACGGTAGGAGAACACCGAAAGTCGATAGAACATGGAAGCAGTGTTCCAGACCAGAAAGTCTCCGGATTTTTTTCAGTAACTTCCGGCTGACTTCTCGTTTCTTCCGATCCGAAATAAGGTGTGAGTATGGATCCTTTCCTCTACCAACCCTCACACCCACACCCTGTATCACATTAAAATTAGTATTCAAGACAGCATGTACATATTAAAAGAAGACTAGTTTTAACAATTGTTTCACTTTGTATTTATGTGTCAATCAACGATCATGGCATCACTGTTAAATCGTGTGTTCGTGATTATTGTATTTCAAGATTTTTATCATAGAACGCAACCATGTTGTAATAGTTTCTTAGTAAATTTGAGGCAATAAAACTTGAAATCTTACAATTTTATAGTAGCATGTTAACTTAATATTGTACGTAAATTTCAAAAGGTTTCCTGATATTGTATACAAAAACAATAAGTGTTGCAACTGGTTTAGAGTAAGTGAGCTCCCTTTAATGCTATTTTGATGTATGTGCCATACGTTTATAAAGATTTTCAATTTCTATCGATTAACCATATTCGCGCAAAATAGCTGATCTAGCATAAATAAATTAATCAGGTTTTTCGGGCTAGGTTGAGTTCAATAAGAAATATAAACAAGGAAATTCATTATCTGAAAATTGATTGTTAATTAATAACTTTGAATCAAAACTATTATTCATGAATTGACTTTATAAATAAATTTTCTTTTTCCTTCTATTAAATAAAGATAACTTACTTCACATGGATTTTTCAGCTTTTGTTTAAAATTCTTTTCTAAAGTAGAAAAAAAATCATATCAATTACAATATCTATAAAAGAAATTGAAAAATTAATTTATTTATAAAAAGAAAACAACAAATAAAAGCATACTTTAATAACTGTTTACGAATTGAAAGTTCAACAGTTTTAAGCAAACATGTTTCGTCGACAAATTTTTCTGCTACAGCCTCCCATGGTGAAATTCTTTACTTTTTTTGTTATCTAGTCTATCAAAAAAAAACAAAGGAAAAAGAAATATAATGAAAGAAATACAATAATCAACAATTACAAAAATTATATTGTGTCAATTTTGAGAGAGAAAGTTTGAGCACATGTGAAATAACGCTTATATACGTGGTTAGGACAGAGAGAAGCCATGCGAGAGAAGAGGCATATGGATCATTTTTTGTCATGATAGGTGTACCAAGCAGAAACACAATGTATAGAACACGAATTGCTTCCGATATAAATACAGATTCTTATTTCACTCAGGAAACCTTTCTGAGCAAAGTGAGAATCAGCATGTACGTATTCTATACATTTTGTCTCTGCTTGGTACATCTGCTATTGCAAATGCTGATATGGATATCGTCACAGAAATAATAATAATAAAGTTATAAAAGAACTAAACTTATTATTCATTCCAATAAATTAATGAAATACTATAGGAAATGAGGATTTACTTTTTGGAATATAATGTAGTAGACAAAAGCAAATATGCCGATGAGATGGACACTAATGCCCATTTCAAAAAAAGTTGTTGGGTATTTTTTAAGTAACTTTTGATGGAAACAAAATGGAGATCAGCGATTTCAGTTTTAGAAAGAGAAGAAGAAAATGCATCGAATCATGTATTATACCTTTTTTTGATCTGTTTTTTTAAGGTTTTCAAGTTTTCGATGTAAATTCAAATAACTTCTTTTTAGAAAATGGATTCCAAAAAATTTCGGAAAACATCTTAGGGAAACTTTTAATATATGATTCGATATGACTTCATGCATCTTCTCTTTCCAAAAATGAAAAACGCAACGTTCTATCTCGATTCTATCCATAGTTGTTCAAAAATATCCATCTGTCTTTTTTTAATGCCATTAGCTCCTATCGCTCTTCCATTGCTTTTTACACTTCTCGACATTATCGAAAATCAGGAGCAAATCTATATTCCGTCGTGTCTTACTCATCATACATATTGAACGTATGAAAACTTCAGCAGCACAGATACTCCATCAAGAATGGAAATCACTGGTATCATTCGATCCCAATCGCCTAAATATAAAGATAGCTATGATAAATGATACCTATTTTTTGTTTTGACCTTCATAATTCTGGAAAAGTGGGATCTGTAAGTCAATCAATTCTTCGCTATTTTGATGTTATGTTTGAACTACCTGAGTTATTAGTTTCATGAAACTTATGCATTTTTTTAAAGAACTGTGATCATTTAACTTTAAGGCTTGTATTAAATTGCCAGTAAAAAATTAATTTGAGTATAGTAAATAATTTGAAAAACTCAGTAATTGATTTAAAAATATTCAATGTTTAATTTATTTATGTTCAATGTTTTATTAATTTATATTAGTAAAATTTTTCACCAGTTTTAACATCTTTACCAGCACGTGACAATTTGTAGCAGTTGAATCTAACTCCCATAAACATGGCATGTTTAGATATAATTTTTTTGAAAATTTTTATCGTTTGTATAACATCATGACTTTTTTGTTACATCTATTAAAGATTTGCCCAAATACATGAATACATTCCATATCGTCTTTTACTCCATTAACTATAACATATCAATATGTGTGATCGTTCTTGTTATTGCAGTCTGTTATCATGCTGTTCTCTGGTTCAGTGGCGAATCTAGAATTTTTACAATGGATAGAGCACAGAGTACAAGCAGGTAACAAAATCTTTTTGCTTGAGCTTTAGTTTTCTCAGTCGTATTATGCGCGCTACAAAAAATATGTTTACCTGCCATTAGAAAACCTTTGCTCAAAAACAATTTGCTAAATTTACTGAGATCTTTTTATCGTCTGACTTCCGCTGTCTGACTACTTTGGCGGAGGAGTGCTTCGATGTAATTGGGAGACGATCATGAGCAAAAAAACATGTTTTGAAGTTCATTGAAGATAGTATCAGCTCATTTTAAAGCCTTTTCTGCTATGAAAAATCGAGACACATCTTCTGGAAGATGATGATCGCTCGCCAAATTCACCATTGCTCTAGTTTTCTTACTTTCTTCTTCATCTACCTTACGTGATTATTGTCATTGAATAAACTGAACTCACAATCAGAAAAAAAACTACANCTGGTGGACCCCCTCTTAAAATTTCTATTTGTAAAAGAAAAAACTACGATTTATAGTTTCTATCTTCGGAGATTCTCAAAATTATTTCTTCATCTTCTATAAAATCATATAACAAAAGAAAATCATTGAATAATTTAATAAATCAAATATTAATGCGTTGTTTTGAAATTCTTCATTGATATACATCAATTTAATAAGTTGATTAGTTGTCTTGTTAAACTTACTATTCATAACAAGTATTCAGAGATAACTAATTTAACGAAATTCAATCGATATACTATACAAGATTACTCGTAGTAACAATCAGTTTTTGAATATTCATTTGAAGAATATTAATAAAAAACTGATTCTTGATGTTAGTCTTTTTTCACCAGTGGGCAAACAATGTGGACATTATATGCGAAAATGAATATTTAGTAAAAAAAAATATTGTCGTTTGCTTTATTAATTAATAAAAAAAAAAGTTTTCGTTCTGAAATAATAATTATTCGTTTTCCGAAAAGATCTCTTCATTAAAATTAGCCGTCACTTTTTTTTCATTAATCTGATATCGACAAAGCTTTCAGAGAATGTTCTTCTATATCTCGGTCATACATTCAGTTAGCACAAATGTTTCTAAATTGAGATATAGGTTTTCTAAAAATAAATAAAACTATTTCAATATGAATGTACCCAACTTGACCGAATAGTTTAATTAATTTTTGTTTACATTAGTTTTGACTGTAATGTGAAAAAAAAAAAGATATTTTTGTTATCATGTATAGTACTCATACGATATAAATAATTTGTCATCCTTGATATTGTATATTTTGTTAAAAGTCAGAATTACGGAATATTTTTTTTGAAATCTCTTGATAAAAATATTTCTCTTTGAATCGTTCTAACAGACTGTACTTCCTTGATACTTGAGACGTCATGAAATATTTCTTACAAATTTCTATTCATCAGTAATTACAGAAACAAAAATATATATATATTTAGTCAAGTAAACATGACATCTAAACCTTTTTTTTGTAGTCTTGTGACATGCTTCAAGCATCTGTGATTAAAATTTTATGCTTCAATGAGTTTTTTGTTTTTCTAGATATGACTCTGTTTTTAATACAAAAACAAAAGGTATTAGAGAAAACATTTAAGTTGTTTTATTTAGTAACACAATACATGGCACACCATTTATACTTTCCACGCATTATAGTTGACAAACAAAATCATATTTTTCTCTTGATAGGAAGGTTGATGAATAATATAACATCTTATGAAAAGTCTCTTCTGTTATTTCAGTTTATTGAATAAGAACAAAATGTAATGTTTCATTATTGAAAAACAATTTCTTCAGATATCAAATTATGAATAGTTGTTTAACAGAACTAAATAAGACATTAAATTGACTCGACATTTCTTTTAATAGTCATATGAAAAAGAATTAAAAATTATCAAGCATTTACTATTGCCCTCTTCATTTTTTGAATTACTATAATAAGACATGTCTAGTTGATTTTGTGTTTCATTTACTTTTTCTCGACAACTGAAACGTCACATTTCGATCTTTTGTCAATAAACAAAGAGAATAATAAAATATCTGTCAAATTATTTTTCTGACATATGATTGGAACTCTATGCTAAAAATAGTTTATTGCTGTATTTTATCAAGTTTGTGACTCTCATGTATACTGCAGAAAAAAGTCTTATTAGTTTTCAAGTTTTGGCTAAATCCTACTGCTTTCATGATTGAATAAAAACCATATTTTCACTCACAAATCATGATGTTTATTTGCTTTGTTAATATATAAAGAAAAAAAAACTGATTTCACAATACGTAAGCATAACTGATAATAATAAAACGAAAAAAAAAATGTTAAATAATCAACGTTGTTTCTTTCGAGGGCCTTGTTTTTAGAATAAATACGTTTCTTTTATTGACCACCACGAAGACGAAGAACTAAGTGAAGTGTTGATTCCTTTTGAATATTATAATCCGATAATGTACGACCATCTTCAAGTTGTTTACCAGCAAAAATTAAACGTTGTTGATCAGGTGGAATACCTTCTTTGTCTTGGATTTTAGCCTTGACATTTTCAATTGTATCCGATGGTTCAACTTCAAGAGTAATTGTTTTGCCTGTAAGAGTCTTGACAAAGATTTGCATACCACCACGAAGACGAAGAACCAAATGAAGTGTTGATTCTTTTTGAATATTGTAGTCAGATAATGTACGACCATCTTCTAATTGTTTACCAGCAAAAATCAATCGTTGTTGATCTGGTGGAATGCCTTCCTTGTCTTGAATTTTAGCCTTGACGTTTTCAATTGTATCCGATGGTTCGACCTTGAATTAACAAATAAAATGATTATTCAACTTTAAAGTATTTTCAATACATACTTCAAGAGTAATTGTTTTGCCAGTAAGAGTCTTGACGAAGATTTGCATACCACCACGAAGACGAAGGACAAGATGAAGTGTTGATTCTTTTTGAATATTGTAATCGGATAATGTACGACCATCTTCGAGTTGTTTACCAGCAAAGATTAAACGTTGTTGATCTGGTGGAATACCTTCTTTATCTTGAATTTTAGCTTTAACATTTTCAATTGTATCCGACGGTTCAACTTCGAGTGTAATTGTTTTTCCTGTAAGAGTTTTAACAAAAATTTGCATACCACCACGAAGACGAAGGACAAGATGAAGTGTTGATTCCTTTTGAATGTTATAATCAGATAATGTTCGGCCATCTTCTAATTGTTTACCGGCAAAAATTAAACGTTGTTGATCAGGTGGAATACCTTCTTTGTCTTGAATTTTAGCCTTGACATTTTCGATTGTATCCGAAGGTTCAACTTCAAGTGTAATTGTTTTGCCTGTAAGTGTTTTAACAAAGATTTGCATACCACCACGAAGACGAAGTACTAAATGAAGTGTTGATTCTTTTTGAATGTTGTAATCGGATAATGTACGACCATCTTCTAATTGTTTACCAGCAAAAATTAAACGTTGTTGATCTGGTGGAATACCTTCCTTGTCTTGAATTTTGGCCTTGACATTTTCAATTGTGTCACTTGGTTCAACTTCGAGTGTGATTGTTTTTCCTGTAAGAGTTTTGACAAAGATTTGCATACCACCACGAAGACGAAGTACCAAATGAAGTGTTGATTCTTTTTGAATATTGTAGTCGGATAATGTACGACCATCTTCTAATTGTTTACCAGCAAAAATCAATCGTTGTTGATCTGGTGGAATACCTTCCTTGTCTTGAATTTTTGCTTTAACATTTTCAATTGTATCCGAAGGTTCGACTTCGAGTGTAATTGTTTTTCCTGTGAGTGTTTTGACGAAAATTTGCATGTTTGATTACCTAAAAAAAATCAATTCAATTTAAATATCATTTCTATAATGATGATGAAATTCTTACTTGTAAGTAAAACTGTAGATGTTTGTCTTGTATGAAAAGAGGGTGTAACTGATAAAAGAAAGAGTGTGCAGCTTATTTTATAGGGCTATGTTAGATGGAGTTTTTTTTTTCCTGGGCGCTTTTTTCTTTTTCGTTCTTCGTCAATATTGTTGCTTACTTCAAGCAGCATTTGTCTAGTACTCGTCCGATTGTGTGCTTTTTTTCCTTTGTGAAAGACGACAAGATGAATAAAGAATGTCCTCGTCGTCATCATGTGATGCGAGTAGGAAGAAAAAGAAACGTGTATATGATGAAATTTGCCCTCTAGACGGACAGGGTCGCAATATTTGGTTAAAGGGAGAAAAAAAGGCTTTTTGTCGAGCTTTTTTTTTGTATGTACGCACTTATCATCATGACTTACCTGTTGTTGAATAACTCGATTCAAGGCAAAATAAAATATAGAGAGAAAAAAAAACCAAATACGGTAATAATGAGGGCGCGAAAAAATTTCTAAGTAATGTTTTTTTGTCGTCATGTTTATTTGCACGATTGAATAACAGACAAATAAAAAAAGGCAAAAAGAAAAAAAACCCAGACAAGAAATAGTTTGTTCTTTTATTTATTTACGGATATTTGTTGTTGAATTTTAGCAATAATTTCACGATGAATCTCTAATTTTTTTTCTGTATCATTCATTAATGATGTTAAACGTTTTCTAGAATTTAATGATTAGATTTAGTTTTTTTTTTTTTTGAAGAGAAAAAAAAACTTACAATTCTCCTTCACAATAAACAAGTCGTTTTGCAACTGTTTCTTTTCCTTCATTTAATTCTTGTTTAATTAAAACTGGTCCAATTAGTTTATAAATAAGAATATCGGAATCAAGATTTTCAAATTCCTAAATAATAAAAAAAATTTTTATATGAAAAAGAAAATTCAGAATTTTATTTTTTGCTTTTTACTTGATTAACAAATTCATTTTCAGTTTTTGTTACAAATAATTGTTGTTGTTGAGTTACGAATTTTTTCATGTCTATATAAATAATAAATGAACTAATCTTTTTGTTGTTTGTCAAAATCATGAATTTATCTTCATTGCAATGAATAAGTAGATCAGAAAAAATTGAATAGTTTATAGTAAATATCTCAGATACTTAGAAAAGGATTTATTTCACTAATCTTTCTATAAATAGTAAATTGAACGAAATAGAATTTTTAAAAGCATAAATACATGAACTATGTATCCTTATATGAACAAATCTAAATTTATTTTCTATTTTTGAATACCATTTTGTGTTTGTCGATATTTTTCAACTTCGTCTTCGAGTTTTTTATTAAGATCTGGTGCCATCTAAAAATCAAAATTATTTTCTGATTTATTCTGTCTACAGGAAAAAGAAAACTTGATTGTTGTTTGTCTTTTATTTTATTAAAAAAAACACAAAATCACACTCGAGGATACCAAATATGTGGTAGACGTTGTTTAAGTTGTTTTAGTACATCTGTATGATATTCATCTGGATAACGATAATATGAATCATAACGTTTCTCATCCATACGAGCTAATCGTTCAACAGTAGCATCTTCTTGTACAGTTTCCTAAATAAAAATAAAAATTTATTATCAAAAAAAAAAAAAAAAATTTTTCTTGTTAAATTGAAATTAAACAAACCCAATGTCGTCTTCTTAAATATTTATACCATCCATAACGTGTTTTTTCTTTTGTTGCATACCATGGTTCATATTGTTCACTTGTTTGTCTTTTATCTACAGTTCGTCCTTCAAAACAAAGACGATCAAAATCTAAATCTTCATCAGGATCAATTTCTAATGATGTTCGAGCTGGTTGACCATTATTTGGACTTGCTAATAAACGTGGAAAATAATCATTTTCAGGACGATATTCAACTAAATGTAATTGTTTAGCATTTGCCCAATCTTGATAAGTTTTCTAAATAATAATAAAACAAAACAAAAATATTAAAGTCCATGTAGGATAAAATGATCATCCGGCATTTAATAAGACATCTGTATTGTTTTGTAGAGCAAGTTTTGGTGCATCGAATGATGTATAGAAAAAAATACTCAAAATGACTTTTTCCGTGAGAAAGCATTTGTTGTTTTCACTAATTTTTGACTTTTACGATTTTTAAAATTCTTCTACTGAAGACAATGGCTATTAATCGTGCGCAACTGTCTCAAAAATGATGTGTCATCATCAAATCGACTAATCCATGTTTGAAAAAGAATAATTTTTCGATGCCTAAAGCCAAAAAACTATATGATTTTTGTGATAAATACTTTTTTTTTCAGAGAAAAAGTTCTTATCTATTAATAATAATAATAATTTCATCATTCTCTATTATTTGACATATATAGACCTTCGGAAAGTGACAAAACAATTCTTCGCTTTCAAATCCCTGGAGTGTTGAGAAAATTCAATCTCTTATGGAAATTAAAAATGTGTCGTGTTTTCGTATCGCCCTCTAGGGACCCGGAAGTCAAAAAAATTGCCATTATTTTGGAAAGATCCACACATAGGTCAAATGATAGGTCAGGATGAACTTATTAAACTGAAAGGTTATCATTTTATTCGAAAATATTCTTTTTTAAAATTAATCTTTTTTTGTTCGTTTTACTTGTTTTAATAAACCACGTATGAAAGCTTTTGTTATATTTTGTGGATTAACTGCGCCATCTATTTGAGCATAAATATCTTTGATACCAATTAATCTACAAAGTAATGCTATAATACGATGACATCGCAGTCCATAACCCGGTGGTCGTTTTTCACAACGAATTTTAGTAAAATAATATGCTTCATAAAAATCATGAAAGATTGTATGTCCATCACAGATTGGTATATAAAGTAATTGTCTTGCAGCAGTTAATTTAGCTTTTTGTAAAGAATGTTGAGCATCTTGTGTTAATGCTTTACCATAACCTTAAAAGAATATATTTTTTCTATGAATTCAAAAAAAATCAAAAGAATTCTCTTACCAACAAGACCTTTTCCATTTCCAACAGTAACAAAAGCTGATGTAAATTTTTTTCGTCCAATTTTTCCAATAGTACGTTGTAAAGTTTTAAATTCAATCAGACGAGAATCAAAATCGTCAAAAGTTACTAAAGTAAATATATAATTATTAAATGTTATATTTTTTATATGAAATATATACTTTCATTAATTGGATCTGGTTTACCAAGACTTTTACCAGCTGGACTACCACCTGTAAAACCACGTTCACTTGGTGGAATTGATAAACGACGAAAACGATCAAGACGATTACGTACTTCAAGTAAACGTTGTTGAAGCATTGGATCAGGTGGTTTTTCTGTAATAGAAACAACTTCACGACCTTGAACAACTGGTGCATTTAGACCAGGCCATTGCATATTTAATTTGCCTATTTAGTTGTTTATAAATTTTAGAGAGAAAAAAGTTAAAAAAATCTATTTAATTACCTTGACCAATTCTTTGGCCAAGATTTAGATCTTTAAATTTTGTTGCACCACGTCGTTTAGCACGACCTCGTTTAGCACCAGCATTACTTACAGATGTTATTGTTTTCCATAGATCTTGTGCCGTGACTATATAGAAAAATAAGATAAAATAAAATCATATTATCAATCATATAACTAACCATTTGTATAAACACTTGTCCGCACAGGTATAAAAATCATTTGCGGACATTTTTGTGTATATCGAAAAAGTGCACCTAACATCTGAAGATATGAAATATCATTATTAATTTTCTATTTCAATCAATTTATGCCGTACACAACATCTATTCTTTCTTACCATACATTTACATCATTTACAAACAAACTCAACTAGCGAATACAATAATAATAACAACAACAAACAAGAGAAAAAAGAAAACAAACACATCTAAATACACATATATATATTTAATTTTGAACCACTATTGGTGCTGTTGCAGCTGCTTGTGCAGCTTGATTTTGTGCATCATTATCTTCAACAAATTCTAATGCTTCGTCTCGTGTAACCGATCGTATTTGACTAACTTTATTACGATATGTAATACCATAAAATTTATCACCATATTTAAGTAAATCTGGACCAAATGTTGTTATAATAAATTGAGCTTTTTGACTTAATTCATTAATCATTTCTATACAAACAAAAAAAAAAACTATAGAAATTTAAACATAAAACAACAATAAAAAAAATAAACCTGCAACAGCATTTCGATATTGTGGATCAAGTGCTTGATCAATTTCATCAAATAAATAAAATGGTGCTGGATCACATTTTTGTATTGAAAAAATTAATGCTAATGCAACAAGAGATTTTTGACCACCAGATAATTGTTGCATATCACGCATTTCATTTGTACGACCATTAAATGAGACTTTTATACCAACACCTGTAAAATCATCAACAGACATTTGTTGTCCAGAACTTTGAGATGAAACTTGTTCACTATCAAAATCCTATTTATACAAATATATAGAAAATAAGAATATTTTCAAAAAAAAAGATTCAACAAACTTCATTATCGCCTTTTTTTATAACCAAATGAGCTGTACCTTCAGGTACAAGTCGTTTAAAAACTTCAGTAAAATATAATGAAACTTGTTTGAAAGTAAATTGTATTGTTTCAAAACGTTTATTATCAAGACTTTCAATTAAATCAACAATATGCTAAAAATAAAAATTTCAAAATATTAGAAAACAAAACAAAAAATCATACTCGATGTGCTTCATCAATTTCAGCTTTACGATTTGTTAATTTATCACGTTCATCACTAAATTGAAGAAATTGATCGAGTGCTTTTTTATTAACATGAGCATATTTTTTTAATTCAACTATTGCACGATCAAGATCACGTTGAAGCTAAACGAAAAAATATATTATTATAAATATACAATAGAGATCAAAAACAAAATTCATCATTCTGTGATGATGAGAATGACATGCAAAGCCTTTCGAATTGGTCCCGGAGGGTGTGGGTGCTAGTAGTTTGAGGAATATGTAGGGTGCGCTTATCGCCGAATGTAAAACTTATAAGTATTTCGTATCTTCAACGCGACATGTGAAAAATGAAGATTTACCCCATAGATAATGCTATTTCAAAGTGCACAAAAATGAACGGTGCTCGCATTCTCTACGATTTTTCCTTGAAAAAATGCGTTTTTCATCGGTTGTTTTTTTTTGTGATGCTATTCATTTTTCAAGGAAACCTTGTAGAAAATGCGATGTTGATAGAAGACACTACGGATACATCATTAACCATTAAAATCACTCTCTTGATTTGAGTTAATTTCTTAACATTGTGCAAAGAAAAATAAAAAATACGTTATAAAACCTTTTTTCACTACCTTATACTGATTATCGAATAATGAAAACCGTCACTACAGGCATAAACTCGAAAATAAGCGGCACTTTGAAAACAACTGGAAGGTTTTACGCTCAATTAAAGAACTTCACTAAATATACAAATTTGTGCTCATATCGTTATTAAATAGATTACAACTTTTCAAAGTTATTACTGTATCTCAGCTGAAAAACACTGTAGAAAATCCGAGCTTGAAGAAGTTTTCGATTATCGAATGACTATTGATATTCATTCTAGTGTTTAAGACAATAAACAAATACAATTGAAAATTCTTACTTGTTTCGTTGGTATATCTTTATATTTTTCAAGACCATCAGGTGGAACACCAATATCATTTTGACGTTTAGTACTTTCATCAAGCTAAAAAAAAATGTAATTAAAAAAAATTTATTTTCTTCCATTTAAACAAGTGAATTGGATTTTTGAAAAAAAATAATTTTATATTTCAGATCTCTCGCTACGGTTAAGCAGCTAAAACAAACAGGATGTATCATTGATCTGTCTTAGATATATAACGCTGATTATTAGTTGTAATTTGCTATTTTGACGGCATAAATCTTCCAGCTCGAATCGGGTTTTAGTTTTTTTATTAAAAGTCTCTAACCTTATTTTGTGCATTACGTAATTTAACTTCATATTTATCTGTATTACGTTTTTCTTCATTAATACGTTCGTCAATATCTTTATCCGAATTCTAGAAAAAAAAAAAGTATTTAACAAGAAAATATTTATTTTTTCTTTAATCTAACTTTTGATTGTTCGAGTTCTTTTTGTTTACTTTTAAGTTCTCGATCTAAATTATTAATTATTCGATCGATAGCTAGAAAAAACAAAAAAAAATATGATATTTCTAATTTATATATCATATACCATCTGTTTGTTTTTCATGTTCATTAAGTTTATCAGATAAAATAGCATATTCACGTTCGAGTTCTTCAATAACACTACGAACATTTTCAACATGAATTCGTTCAAGATCCTGAGCAAAACAATAAAATTATTTATTATTAAGAAAATATCTTACTGTGCTAATTCGATCACGATTTTTTCTATAATTATTAGAAACTTGATGTTCAAGTCTTGTTTTAATACCTTCAAGCTGAAAAAAATATTTACATTTTTTTTTTATTCAATGATTGAATTTTAACTTACTTGAACACGTTTTTTAATAATTTCTTTTAATTCTTGTGTTATTCGTTCAATAACATAATTAAGTTTATCAACAGTAGATTGTTCATCAACAGTTAATTGTGAAATAAGATCACTACCAAGTTCAGATTGTAATGATTCTTCTTTAGCACAAAATTGTTCAATTGTTGCATTAAGAGCATTTAATTGTCGTTCCTTTAATTAAACGTAAACGAAATTAAATTTCAATGAGTAACTTTTTTTTATGATCTTTTATTAAGATTGAGCATTATCTGTAAGATAATACTAATCGAGAATTTTCTTTTGATGAGAGCTTATAGATTAAATAATGCCTGACACGTTTGATCATATGGATATAATGTACGCGTCGCATCGGTAGTCTTTTTCTGCGATAAGGGAACTCGATAGGATGTTTTCTTATGATTTTAGCTCCCATTTAGATATCGCTTAACTATCAAATTTAATAGCTGAGTCAAATTCAAATACTTTTCCGGTTTTAGGAGAACACAATTTAGTATCTATAGGCAAACAAACTATTGAAATACGGAGAGAGAAAATCTGAGAAGGTTCTAGAACTCGTATCAATCTGCAAATTTCCTACCCAATAGGCTTTCGTAGTTTCCCCGTTAGCCTTATTTATATGACAATAGAAAATGAAATTCCTTGTTTTATGACATAACCAAGAATTCTAGATGCTGGTAGAGTCAAAAACACTCGGAAGAAGTCTCTTGTCAATTAAAGCAGACAATCAACACCGTGTTCGCCATTCGTAGCAGATACAACTTTCACAATATCCTAAACAAAAACTTAACTCAAATTTTCGACTATATTTAATATATTCCTTGAACCCACACATTGAATACAACTATTTTACATCTAGGGAACTGCAAAATCACTTTTTTTAGTCCCGGTCTTTGACAATGGTTTCATTTCTAAAATCGAGCAACTTTTTTACGATTTGTGTACTTTTATGAATACATAAAATTGACATGAATGATTTTGATTCGTTAACAGTACGAAAATTCTTTTATATCCAGCGTTAAAGTGAAAGCTCGAATAAAAAAAAAAAAACATTGAATTTTGTTAAAAATTCTCATATAATTCATAGCAGTCATTTACTTATTTCTCTCTTCTTTTATATCTACTGCTCTACCTAATGGATTTATTATTTATACTGAGTAGTCATTACGATTGTCAACAAATAAACGGCGATACATATCTATTTACTATTATCTGATAAGACTTCAATAAAGGAATCATCAAAGAATAAACAAATTAAACTTACGTAGTTTTGTTTTATATGTATTCAAAAAATCAGTGCAATTGGAAAACTCAGATTCTTGCCAGCAGACTCGTAATCAGTAAAGATTTTTTATAGAAATAGCAAATAAAAATATCTGATTTACAGATCTTAAATCAAGTCAAAATAAGAAACGTGAAAATATATTGCATAAAAACTGTCCGGGACCAATGTGAAAAATTTTTAGTCAAATTTTGGTGCCGGGACCACTTTGCAGTTCCCTATTTACATCTCAGTTTGAGATAAACTCAAAAAAAAAATAACATATCAATTTACTTTTGTTGGTCGATGAGCAATAATACGATCTAATTCCGATTGAAGATGTTTAGAATCCGATTTCATTTGTTCATAATTATCCCTATAAACAAAAATTTCTTCTTAAAAAAAAAAAAAGAACACTCTTTATGTTAATAAAATTACCAATTTTTCTTTGATTTCATATCTTCTCGTTGTAATTCTGTCATAATATTATTATGTTCATTATCAATATGGGTTATTTCTTGTCGAAGTTTTTCATATTCTTCTTCATATTTATTTAATGTTGCACGTAATTGTTTTATTGAACGTTGTAATTCCAAACGTGAAATTTTCCTATCGATATAACCACCTGTTAATGCACCTTTACGTTGAACTTGATCACCTGAAAAATACGAAAAACAAAAAAAAAAATTTTAAATATAAATCCATATTGTTTTTACCATCTAATGTAACACAATCAACATCATATTGCCGAGCTGTACGTGTAGCAGAATTAAAATCTTCACAAAGCATAATACGATTAAATACATGACGAACAGCTTTTTCAACTTTCGGTACCCATTGAAGTTGATCAATTAATGGTGATGCACCATTTATATGTGATAATGTATTATGTTGAACATCTAATACATTTAATGGTAAGAAATGAATTTCACCACGTTGACGTGCTACATTAAATTCTTTAACTAAACGTGTTGCAATAACATCTGTATCGACGATATGATAATTAAGTCTAATGAGTAAAAAGAAAAAAAAATTTGTTTTCATTGAGAAGAATTTATTTTATTTTTTACATACCGATTACCAGCAATAACTTCAACAGCTGTATAAAAAGCTGGATCACATTCGATGTTTTCAATTAATGTACCATGATATGCATGAATAATATCCTGATTACGATTTTCATCAGCAAATTGACGAAGAAGTCGTTGTAAACCATCAGCACCTGATGTTGCACCCTTGAAATAAGAATTGTTTTCTTTTTTATTTAATCAACAAAAAAAATTTTTACTTTATTCATAACAGATCGAAGTGTATCTTGACATTTTCGTAATTCATCACGAGTTTGACTTAATTGCATATGTAATTGAGTTTCTTTACGTGCTAATTCACTATTAAAAAAAATTAAACTTAATTGTAATTTTTACCAATGGAATAATACTGTTTTTGTATTTGTCTATGTAATTCAGTAATGCAATAGTATTAAAATTGCGAGCTGGAATTCTTTTTGGACGATACGTATTTAACTGTCAGACACGCCGTTCGACTTCGATCCGGAACCATATCTCAAAATTCCGAGAAAATCTCTTCGATGAATTTTTCATCACTAAATTCGTCTTTGTAATAGAAGATCTCGCGTCTTCTTCTTCTGCTGAAAATCTGAGGGTCTCTAACGTTCGAAAGTTGAATGTTTCCTTTGTTCGCTCTTTTAATCGCATAGGCATCATTGCTAAAGCTTCACATTTATACACTCAACTGGTTATATGTATACAGCAGAAATGTATTTATCTCGAATGATATTGCAGAATTAGAGACTTCTTTGTTTGAATAATGAATTGTTTACAAAACTTATAGCATTCATATTAAATTAGTATTAGGTATGATCAAAATGCTTCGGAGATGAAAACTTGTCGTACTTTGCTCCAAATGAATATTCAATAGATTCTGTTGGACCACAATCCATTGTATCACTTAGTGATGATGAACTTCCATATTTTCCTTGTTTAGTGTCTATACTCATTAAATTCTATTTCAATATGCTCTCGAAAAACTTTACTTACGTTTTTTGAGCAGCAATATCACTTTTTTTTTGTCGAAGATCTCGTACACGTGTATTAACATTATCCATATGAGAACGTTGTTCATTACCATTATCAACAATTTGTCGAAGTTGTTCTTCAATTTCACGTGATTTAATTGTTTCATCTTCTAAATCTTTTTTTAAACGTTGCATCTAAATATTTATAATTTAGATTTTTTTTTTTTTTTTTTCAAATGAAATATAATAAAAAATATACTTGTTCACGTTTATCATGAATAGCTTTATTTAATGACTTAAGTTCAAGACGAATCCATTTATCACGATCTTCTTTTGATGTAAATTGATTTCCACGACCACGTTTAGCAAATAATTCTTTACGTTTTTCTTCAGCAAGATCACGTCTAAAGAATAATATAGAATTAATTTATTTGTTCGGAAAAAAAAACAAATTCTTACTGAGCTGTTTTTTGTTCTTCTTCATGTCGTAATGCATCATAATTTGGAAGAATTTTTGCTAAGTGTTGTTCACTTTCAGTTAATAATCTATCATATTTAATAAGTTCTTTTTTAAGTTCTTCACGTTTTACATCACGTTGTTCAGTTTCACCTTGTAGATCTTGTAATTCAAGTTCAATTTGTGCTTTACGTTGAAAATTATCTTTATTATCAACAATTAATGTTTCACGTTCAATTTGTTGTGTTTGTAAACGTTGTTTAAGTTCAGTTATTGAATCCATTGTTTGCTTAAAACAAAATCAAATTTTAATTCCAAACAACAAAAGAAAAAGACTTACTTGAATTAATTCAGTTACAGATAATCGATCACCTTCCAATTGTTCAATCTTTTGTGTAGCACCATTCATTCTTGCTACAACCTATTTGAAAAAAAAAAATATTCAATTTGACAGAGTTGATTTTATTATTGAAATACTTATTGTAGAGAATAAAATAGATCAGCAAGTCAAAGACCTTCACAGGTGCGTACCCAGGATTTTTCAGTATGCTGAATCTCGACCCAACTGATGGAGTTTTATCAAAAAAAATTTTCACTCGGAGTTTGCGAAAAAAATTAGCATTTTCCTGATTTTTAGAGTTCCAAAGGAAGCTACACATAATTTCATCGATGGATTTCAAATTTCATCTAAAACTATGCAACCATTGAAGAATTATAACGTTTTGATATTTTGCAAAAATTGTTTCCACATGTAGCAAAATTTCAAAACGTTATAATTCTTGAATGGTTGCATATTTTTAGATGAAATTTGAAATCCATCGATGAAATTAGGTTAGCTTCCTTTGAAACTCTAAAAATCAGCATACTGCTAACAGCAAAAAAAATCCTAGGAGGGGGGGGGGGGGCAGGAAAATGTTAATTTTTTTCGCCAACTCCCAGTGCAAATTTTTTTTGATAAAACTCCATCAGTTGGGACCAACATTACCTCCCGTGACTTTCACCTTGATCCCATGCTCGGAAGTCGAGATTCGGCATGCTGAAAAATCCTGGGTACGCCACTGGACCTTCATGTTTTCTTTATCGCTCGATTAAGAAATAGGAACTAGTGTACACCCAAGTAAAATGCGTCCGTATAGATTTTCATTCTTGTTACTATTGAGAAATTAGTGAAGGACTATTTAATACGTTCGAATTTTAAACAAATAAAGTTCTCAACAAGGTAGGTGTTAAATTCTTTTTTTTTCACGTTATCGGTTAAAATAAAGATCCTTTGCTTTGTTTAACAATATAGTATCGATTTGATTCTGAAAATCCTAAACAAATAAGATCTATAACAATAAGTCCTTCGAAAATTTGTCTGTTCAAGCAAGAGGAAAGAGAATACTTCTCTCATTCACCTAACATATGCCATCCAGTGGTTGATTCAAACGTACGATATCACCCTGACAGCTATGGTTAACTGCCGCTCTAGACGGAAGAGCGATCTGAAGCAAAATTCTTGCATTCCTTATACACACCAAAGCCGAGGTCTACACCTTTTCACTGAGCTACTGCATGGATGATCCGAGACAAAAGACCGGAGTGATTGATCCAAGGCATTTCCATTGCTGGTTATACTAAGGTTTTAATAGAGTCCGTAGCAAATATTATTCGTTACTTCATCCAAAAAATGATTTCATACTTCATCAATTCGTTTTTTTGCATCTTCACATTCCGACATACAAATGGCGCATTCTAATCCACGTTTTGATCTATCCCATTTTTGATATTGTTTAAGTTCTTCTTTTTCCGTTTCAAGACTTAATAAACGTTCTTCAATAGCTTTTAATAAATCTGCTATTTTCTTACGACGTTCCTCTATTAACAAAAGAATAAGTAAAATATAAATATTAATTAAATGCTTATTTTTTTTCCTACCTGTTTCAGTTAATATAGCTTCACTTTCTTGTTTTTTTTCATCATAAACTTTTGTACCAGCAACTTCACGTAATAATTGAAGTCGATTTGCATCTGGTGCAATAGCCATTTGAGTAATCTAGATGAAAAAAAAAAAAAATTTTATGATAAATTTTAAAGATTATTTTTATTTCTACATACTTTGCCTTGTTTAACAATATAATATGGATTTGATCGAGAAAATCCTGCACCTTCAAGCATATTGATTATATCCGTTTTGCTAGAAAAAATATTAAATTTTCTTAATTGTACTTGAACTTTTTCATATATCTTACTTCACAACTTTACGATCAAGAAAATAATTATCTTTTTTACCACTTATTTGTCGTCGTACAGCAATTTCAGGTTTATCAATCTAAATATTTCGAAATAAAAAAAACAATAAAATAAAAATCTTTTAATGAAATTTACCATAATACGACTATCAGAATTATCAAAAATGATTTCAACATAAGCATTTAATGCTCGACTACTAATACCTTCATGCATTAAATTATAACGACCTTCAGCTGATAAATTACTAAATTCATCACTTAAGACAAATTGAATTGCTAAAAAAAAGTAAATAAAAATAAATTCATCAAAATAATAAAACTAACCAAAGAAGAAATTTGATTTTCCACAACCATTTCGTCCAACTAAAAGTAAAATTTAATATGAATTTAAAATATTTTCTTTCAAATTTTTTTTACCAATAATATTATAACGTGGACTAAATGGTTCAATGATGGTTTCATCACGATATGAACGAAAACCTTGGATAATAACCTATTAAGAAAGAATTATTAATTTTAATTAAAAAATATCTATTAAACTGACCTGCTTGATATACATGCCGGACGTTAATAATCAAATGAATTCATTGTTACAAAGAAAGCATACAAGAAGTCGAATAGAAAACGTTGTTCTTTGTTTCGAGTGTTCAACCAATAAGATGCATCGAATGAATATAATAGATTGAATAGTACTGACATCTATTGATAACAAAAATCTCTATTTTATAAGCTGAGTTTTTAAAAGTGATATGTTTAATGTCGATGATAAAATTATATTAAACTGCCTTATTATGATTAATTGTTTAGGTTTTCTTTTAAAAGAAAAAACTATGTTGTACATGTATTCACATTATCATTGACATACTGAGGTATAACAGCAGTAGATTACCACCACTCGGAAAATAACTTTAAGTACACCATGACATAATAGTAGACAAGATAGTTAAGTGCTTAAGTATCAAATGATCGTCGGTTTTTCTTCAATAAAATATATGTAGAGTTTTGTTTCCTACGTAGTTATGTATATCTTTCAGAAGTAATGCTGTGTAAGAAATATAAGTTTTTATTTAAGCAAAGATGATTTTTTAACAAGTTGATCACATACGCTGATATAACTTTGGATAAACTCTTTAGTCAACACAACAGATCGATTTTTGATCGTTTATTAATTATACAGGGTTGGAAAAAATATTATTCAAGGGGGGTAACGCTATAATTTCAAATAGAAGATATGATGAATTTTATACCAAATGAAAGATCGTGAAAAATGGGATTTATTGATGCTAAATAGTAAGGGTTATGTAAACCTTTTAATATCGAACTGAAGAAATTTTATACATTTTTGTGGGTGGAAAAGGAAGGTGCTACTAATTCAAAAATGGAGTAAAATGTTTTTCTTGGATATTTTTACATGGTTCGATAGAGCTCGTCGAGCTCTACAAAATTGTATATATTAAAATTTTTTTAAATAGGATTCTTGAGTTGAAATTTACTGAAAACTGTCTAAAGAAGGTACCCAAAAATCCGCATTTTTTACACCTTTTATAGGGGAAAAATGGTCTTTTTTACAATAAATTCAGTTGTTTTCCATTAGTATCCTAACGTAAGATGTTTGAAAATATACTCATTCGGTGCAGTTTTTCACGCTGTATCGAATGAGTATATTTCGAAACACCTGAGGGAGTAAAAATAATCAACAAAAGCTAATTTTATTGAAAAATCGAATGTTTTTCTTCCGTATCCAAAATATCAGTTTTTTTTTTAACGGTTTTTAAGATTTTCCAAATAGTTTTTTTAATGTTTTATTACAAAATAATGACTTTAAAAAAATTGAATATATACAGTTTTGTAGAGCTCGACGAGCTCTATCGAACCATGTAAAAATATCCAAGAAAAACATTTTACTCCATTTTTGAATTA